TCACGCCCAACGATCGTTTACCGTTCTGGTAGACGTATTGTTGTGGGTTTATCCTACCTACACTAGTAGCTAGAGTTGCCGTGGGAATTACAACAGCACAGTATTCTCTTAGAAAACGTTGATGAATCTCAAAAGTTGGGTGCTTCACCGGAGTTTGTAGCAGAACTACGAAAGGTTCTCATGGAGCTTATCGATGTGTTTCGGCTAGTGATTGGACGAGATCCACCGGTGGACATGCCCCCAATGGAGGTCACGCTAAAGCCTGGAGCTGTTCCAGCGCGATGTCGTGTGAGGCGATACTCACCAACTCACCGTCCAGGTGGACGCAAAAAGACAAAAGTTCGGAGCGTTCCACTGTGTAATGTAGGGTGGAGCGCTGAAGAAGTGGCTTGCCTAGAACTTTGCAAAGCCGCGTTGCAGAATGCGGTGCAGCTAGCTCATCCGGACCCGGACAAGCGCCTATGTGTCTTCACAGACGCGAGAGATGAACACTGGGGAGCCGTAATTACGCAGATTCCGCCGGAACACTCCGTCAGGCCGCAGAACGAGCAAGAGTACCAACCGTTCATGATGCTGGGCGGTTCGTTTTCTGGATCTGCTAAACGGTGGGCGATTGTCGAGAAGGAAGCATACGCCATCATTGAAACTTGCCGTCGTGCAGATTATCTGCTTCACCGACCGGATGGGTTCGCTCTTTTCACGGACCACAGAAACCTACGGTACATTTTCGACCCGCACAGTGTCTCGGGTGCCGTACCGAAGTAAACGGCGGACAAATTGCATCGGTGGTCGCTGCTTCTGATGGTGTTAAGGTATGAAATTCATGACATTGCCGGCGACGACAACGTATGGGCGGACTTGTTGTCCAGGTGGGGATCCTCGTTCAAGACTGTATGTGCGATTCGCCATGTGCCGTTGCCGCTTTCACCTCAACTTGACGTGGCATTCGTGTGGCCAACCGGGAAGGAGATCAGTGAAGCACAGGGTGCAGGAACTCCACCTGCCAATGTGATACTGTGTGATAGCGGTTCGCTGTGGAAAGACGAGCAAGGCCGGATCTGGATACCCGACGAGGCTACGACCCAACAAGTACGAGTGTGTGTCGTAGTGCCAATTTGGTATCGCAGGCCATTGGGGAGTTACCGTAACACGTGAGAATATCACTGAACGGTTTGTGTGGACAGATATGGACCGCGCCATCGAGTTTTTCGTCCAGAGGTGCTTGCACTACGCAAGTACACTCGGCGGTCCGCCTCAACCTCGACTGCTAGGAGAAGCAATGCATGCTGAGCGGCCAAACGAGTTGAACCACTGGGGTTACTTGTACCTGGGGAAAAGTGATACGAATCAGGAGTACGTGCTGGTCATTAAAGATGATGCGTCTAAGTTTGTGTGGCTGCTTCCCAGTGAGGCAGCGGATACAGAGATGAGATACAATGCTCTCATCGACTGGTTTGCATCGTTTGGCGTGTGTCGGACCTGGGTCAGTGACCAGGGGACACATATCAAGAATAAGGTGGTAGAGGCTCTACAATATGCATTGGGGGCTCACAACCATTTCACTACGGCTCGCTGCCCATGGGCAAATGAAACTGTGGTGGTTGTGATGAAAGAAACGCTACGTTGTTGCCAGGCGCTGCTGTCTGAGCGGAGAATGCAGCCACGGGAGTGGACTCGCGTGATCACGATCGTGCAAATGGCACTAAACAACGCTCCGTCGCCATCTCTCGGAGGGGTGGCGCCATAACTGCCATGACAGGACTGCCAGCCATGGCCTAGTGATCCTATAGCGGTACCGGGGCCAATTGCATCGGTCACTTTGGACCAGATCCAGGTGAAGCAGCGCGAGCATTTCGTACGCTTACAAACGGCTATAGAAGACATGCACAAACGAACGAGTGAAGTGAATGCGTCTGCGAGAGCAGCAGGGCGTAAAGCACATGATAAAAAAACGACACACGACAATGGCGTAGTTCGATATTGGGGACTATGTATTGTACGCTGATGTGTGGCAGCACACGAGAAGCAAGTTGCGCGTGAAGTGGCGTGGACCGGCGCAGCTGACGGCTACTATCTCCAATTAGATTTTTGAAACCCAGAACTTAGTCACCGGCCAGCGCAAGGAGGCACATGCAAGCCGACTCAAGTTTTATGCGGATGACTCACTCGACGTCAATGAAGAGCTGTTACTGCATGTGACCCACAACAGTGAGGAGCACGTCGTGGATACGCTGTTGAAGGCGCGCTATAACCCAAACGCGAAACGCCACGAGATCAAAGTTCACTGGCGCGGCCTGGATGCCGTAGAAGACTCGTGGGAACCGACAGATGTCCTGCTGCAGGATGTTCCCGCAGCGGTGAAGGCATTTGTTCGCAGCCACAACAAACAGCAACCCGTGAAGGCGTTGCGCAAGGCACTACAATTGAAGTAAGCGATTAACGACGTATCCTGCAACAGTGGCTCATCGGTAAGCGTAGCGCTGGACAACGACGACGTCGTTTGGAGGGGGAAATGTTGTAGCTGGAGCTACAGCGTGGAGCCGTGGCTGAGGTTGCAGCTCAGCAACACGCGATCGAGGAGTAGTTCTGCGGTCGAGTAGTAGTCTCACTAGTAGTGGTTTCCCTCTAGCCAGTCGTAGCAGTTGCAGAATAAACGACGCCTCCAAAGGCATGCATTAGAATCAAATACTAACTTCTACATTTCAACTAAAGCAATAATGACGTCCTCTTTCTCATTTGTGTAGCCGATTTTGAAGGCAAGCGCGCCATCGTACA